TACACCTGAAAGTATTTTCTAACTTCCTTGCAACTGTTTGACCCACTGACCATTTAAGAGTGTTCTCTTTCATATATGTGTAGATTTCATAAATATATGAACAGTTCATAGTATTTTAAAGTATTTTCAGCTTGTTTGCTGTTCTACTTGTCATTGAAAGTGGGGTTTTGGTGTCTGTAACTGTTAATGTCAAATTGTCTATTTGTTTCAGTTTTGGGTTCATGTATTTTGGAGTTTTGCTCTTAGGAACATATGTATTTAGAACATATTCTGATGGATTGACCCTTTATTCTTAAAAAAGTCATTTTTTGCCTTAACTTTTGTTTGATAGTATTTTTTCTGATAGTAGAGCGTAGAGAAGTATATTTAGTGACAGATCCTCTGTTTTAGTTTATTTAGGAATATATTATTTTTTCCTTCATTTTTGGAGGACAGTTTTGGTGAGCATAAAATTCTTTGATGATCATCCTTCCATTTAAGCACTTTGAATATGTGTATCCATATTCTTTTTCACTCCAGTTTCTGATGAGAAACAAGCTGTTGTACTTTTAAGGCTCCTTCATACATGATTTGTTTTTTTTTTTGGTACCGGGGATCGATCTCATGACCTCAGGCTTGCCAGGCAAGTGCTTATGTCGCTGAGCTATATCCCTGGCCCATACATGATTTGTTGTTTCTCTTTTTTGAGCATTTTTTTTTAGTTTATTGATTCACTTTAAATGTACATAATGATCGCATTCATCATAGGGAGTCTGTATGTACATGATATATCTTAATTCTGCTTTTTTTTTACCCCATTTCCCTCCCTGCAAACCCTCTTTCTTTCCTTATTTACAAAGCTTTGTTTCTATTTTGTCTTTCTTTTCCCATGTTTTCTTTTCCCTTCTTTCTATTCCCTCTCTCCCATCCTTAGTTCCCCTTTAGTTTTGAACAGGTTCTTCCTATTTCACAATGTCCTATGCATTTTGGTCCGTATTTTCAGTTTTTCCCACCAGAGAGACAGTACATTATTTACCTATGTGTGATAAACTTACTTCATTAAGAGTATAAGCTCAAGGTTCATCCATTTAGCAATAAATGTCTCCAGCTTATCCTTCTTTATGGCTGAGTAGTACTGCATTGTATAAAAACACATATCTTTTTTGTCCATTCATCCATTGATGGGCATTTGGGCTGTCTCAAAGATTAGTTACTACAAACTGTGCTGCTATAAACATGGGTGCACATATATTACTGTGATATGATGCTTGTAATTTTTTCATGAAGATACCAAGAAGAATAGCTGAATCAAATGAGACAGCTGGTCCTAGATTTTTGAGGGATTTCCACAGTGATTTCCATAGTGATTCCCACCAGGAGTGGACAAGGGTTCCTTTTTCCCCACAGCCCTGAATTTGGTTGTTAAATCTAGAAGTCTTTTGGTGGAGTTTTGGGGGTCTTCTATGTAGAGTACCATGTCATCTGCACATAAATCTGAAAAAATCTCTGAGAAGCTTAGTGTGGTTCTTTGCACACACAATTTCTCCTGTTCACATTGCCTTTACCACCTGGCAGCCTCCCAACCATGGCCAGGCCCTGTTCTGAGCCTGGCTCTGCTGCTGCTGTCAGTTTATCTCTGAAGCCCTGTTATGTTGTCTGTTTGTCTCTTAATTTTCTAAATTTTTATTAGTGCATGTGGGTAGTAAATGATGATTACATTCATGTACATGACACATTCCATTCTCAGGTCCCCTTCTGCTATGTTGATTCTGCATGTTAATGCCTGCAGAATTGGTTTATACCCTCCCTTCATTAGTACATGTATTAAGTTTTGGTGTAGTGATTTGTTTTAGTACTTTTGGACCTTGGTATTTCTTTCTAAAGAAGACAGACCATGTTTTATTTGTTTTTAATCTTTACTGTATAGCCCAATTCCAGACATACAGCAAGTAGTCAATGTCTATATTGAATGAATATGCTAGAAAAAAGTATATATATTTTTAATTTAATTAAGTTTATTGATACAATTTAGGAAGGATCCAACCAAAAAGGGGCCAATCACTTTAAAGAACATACATGCAAAAATCCTTAATAAAATACTGGCAAACAATGCAGCAAATTATCAAGAAGATTATGTACCATGACTAAGTAGAATTCATCCCAGAATGCAGTTCAGCATATATGTCAATAAATGTAATACACTGTATCAACAGAGCCAGACAGAAATCACATCATCATCTCAATAGATGCAGAAAAAGCATACCCATTTGTGGTAAGAACCCACAGAAAATTGGAGTAGATGGTCTTTATCTCAATCTGATAAAAGCCATCTATGACAAACCAACGGCCAACATTATATTAAATGATCAAAAACTGAAAACTTTTAATTCTAAATCAGGAACAAGACAAAGATGTCCACTACTACTTTTTAAGGTAGTTCTGAAAACACTAGCCAGAGCAATTAGGCAAGAGAAAGAAAGAAAAGGAATGAAGATACAGGAAGAAGTTAAATTATCACTATTTGCAGATGACACAATATTCTACATTGTTGCTTCTCATTGCTTTCAGTTATTTTGGCTTTGGCTTTTGATAGTTCACGATGTGTCTAAATGTGGTCCTCATAGAATTTATCTTAGCTGGAGGTTGTTGAGCTGCTTGGATGTGGAGATCAATGTGTTTATCAAATTTGAGTGGTTTCAACCATTTTTTCTTATTAAATATTCCTTTTGTCTTTTTTGGGGGGGTGGTTTCCGGTACCAGGAATCAAACTCACAACCTTGTGCTTGCCAGGCAGGCACTGTGCCACTGAGCTAAATCCCCAGCCCCTCCTTTTGTCTTTTCTTAACTCTGCTCTTATTCTGAAACTCCCATTATGTGAATGTTAGTGTATTTGATGGTGTCCCACAAGTCTCTAAGGCTCTTTCTACTTTTAAAATTGCTTTTCCTGTTTCTCAAAACTAAACCGTATCAATTGAACTCTTTATGTTCATGGATTCTTTCTTTTTCATGCTCAGATACACTGTTGAGGCCCTCTAGTGAATTTTTATTTAAATTATACCTTTCTTTCATTTTCAGAGTTTCTCTTCAGCTGTTATTATAATTTTTGTTTCTATTGGTACTCCTTTTGGCAAGGCATTATTTTCACATTTTAGTTCCTTGGACATGATTTTATTCAGTTTTTTTAACATTTAAGGTAGCTGATATTAAATCTTAGTAATTCTAATGTCTAGGCTTCCGTCAATTGCTTTTTTCTTCTGCATGAGCTATACATTCTTGTTTCTTTACATTCTCATAGTTTTGTCTTCCCCCACCCCCTGACACCAGGAATCGAACCCACGACCTTGCACGTGCCAGGCAGGTGCTCATAGTTTTATATTGAAAACTAGACACTTAAAATAACATAATGGGACAGCTCTGGAAATGCAATTCTTCCCTATTTGCATGTTTTGTTAGTATTTCTACATGTTGTAGCTTTTGTTTTGTGACTTAAAAAATAATCCTATAAAGTTTTTATTCTCTGTTGGGAGTGCCTCCAAAGTTTCTACTTTGTCAGCTCAGTGTTCTGCTAATGTGTAGATAGAAGTATTTTTATCTGCCTGGAATCAATAAATCTACCAATCTTTGCCAATGGGTTCTATGTACATATAAGGGCATCCTTTCAACACTCAGGGAGTTGACACCTCTGTCTTACCTGCCAGTTTATGCTTGTAAACTCTCAAGATCAGCTAGTGTCTAGAGCTTAGGGGTGTCTTGTGTCTTTCCTGAGTTTGTGCAGTCATGCACATGTGTGTCCTTTTGTATTTCCAGGAACATGTTAGGGTTTTTCAGAGTTCCTATGGATATGTCATGTTTCAACTTTCCATTTAAGATTTTTGATTAGTCTTTTGTTTGCTCCAGTTGTTACTGCTTCAGATTACAGCAAAGTTGAAATACTAACATGTTTTGGAGTAATGCTGTCCCCCATCCTCACAAACAGTACTTGGTGGTTCTTTTTTGTTTCTTTTTTTCCGGTACCAGGAATCAGACTCACAACCTCACGCTTGCCAGGCAGGCGCTGTGCCACTGAGCTAAATCCCCAGCCCCTACAAACAGTACTTGGGAAGGAGGTTTTATTTTTCCCTGACTAAACGCTCAGGTCATATGCAGCTAGCTTCATAAGTGAGGTCTTTCAGACAACAATCAGACAGATAACATAAATGACAAATACTCAGAAATAAAGCTTTCAAACTATTCCAGTTCTCTTTTGTTCTGTTGGTTGACTGCCACCAGGATACACCAGAAATTTAGGCTGTTATTTTCTAAAATAATGTAGAGCTAGAGATCAGGAATGGAACAGAGGAAATTCAAGACACCACAAAGGTTGTTGTTCTTACAGAAACACTTAAATAAAGGGTTGCTGAAAACCCTTTTTTTAATTCCCAGAGTTATGAAAAAACTAAATCTGCTCATTTTTAGTAGTATTTTTATGCTTTTGTATAGAAGTGAAGTGTTAGAATAACCGGCAGTTTTGCCGAAATCACTGATCTTATTTCCTAAAGATATTTTTGTAGTTATAAAAGTTATGGTGTAACACTGTATATTCACTGACTAATGTGAATTATTTTACTAATCTAATATAAACCAACATAGTTCCTTGTAAGACCAAAAAGTAGTTTTGTGGAGAGACATAATTCATTAATTACTGAAACTAGAGTAGAAGTCTATTTCTTTTTTAGTATTATTTAGAGAATGAAACTAGACTAGAAGTCTGTTTCTCTTTTAGTATTACTTAAATGTTTTCAGTAAGTTGAAGGGAAGGACAAAGAAAATCTGTAACTGTGAGCTTTGAAAAAGTTTCTAGTATCAAAAATATATGAATTAAATCCTTATCCAAAATTTCTGTCCCCAAATTTCTTGCCAGTAATAACAGAAATTTCTGACTACTCAAGACTCAAATTTCCTTGAAATGATTTATTAAATTCTTTACTAATAATAGATGTTATATTTGATAAGATAATATATTCCCTTTTATTTTTGGATAGGCTTATACAGTGAAGACACCAACTAAACTACAAATACAGCAAAGAGAAGAAAAGAATAAGCCCATTGAACAAAATAATAAAAAGAGAAAAATCTTTGAATTTGATGTTAATTCAGATAGTTCAGAAGCTACTGATCTTTGGGTAAAAATATTACAATCATTATTATTTGCATCATTTATTATTTGCATTTCTTGATTTATGTGTATATTATAGGTGCATGGTATTTAACATTGCGGTGCTGAAATAAAGTAAAGCTATACTGTAACAGAGTTCTTATGCTTTTGTAACATTTTAGAGTAATTGGGGCAGAAATAATTTACCTCTGAATTTCATAAAACATGGGATTTGAAGATGTTTGATATAGCATAGTTGGTGTATGATATGATTAATAATTACATTGTTTCTATTAGAGTTTTACAAAGGAGATTTTGGCCAAATCTGTTGCTAGTAGCCCCTCTGTTTTTTGCCTATTGTATGTGTTATTATATATTACTTATTGATTGATATTTATATCAAAGTATTGGTTGAGAGCTGTAATATTTTTATTACTCCTTCTAAGGAGTTAATGTAGGAAGGACAGCATGTTAAAGGGGTGTATTTCTTTTAACAATCTAGGACTCTTTTTATTGCCTGTTTACACATACCAATATTTTCTGAAGGCATAATGATGAGTTATTGAGAATAAGTAGATTTATTTAATTTAAAAACATATAAAGATTACCACATCAAATGGTGCAATGTACCAAAAATTCTTAATGACAAAATTTCAATTAAGGCCTTTTGTTTCATTATTTCCACATAATATCAGCAAGCTGCTTTACTGCTTTGGGAACCTCTATTTTTATTTGTTTTGAAATAACAACGAGCTGAAGTCTTTAAACCCTAATTAATAATAGTTAACTTATAGAGTCTTTACTTTGGAACCCCTCTCTTTTATACGAGGTCGATCGAAAAATACAATGCTTAAATTAAACAAAAATTACTGTAATAAAGGACAGATTGTCATTAATCCCTTTTAAAATGCTCCCCTCATTCTTGCCACTTTCTGAAGTGGTTCTGGAAGTTCTCTTTCCTGAGTGTCTTTAGGTGTGCTATTGTGGCCACCTTGATGTCCTAGATCAATTCAAAATGTTGACTTTTCATGGTCATTTGATTTTGGGGAAGAACCAGAAGTTACATGGTGCCAGATATGATGAATAGGTGGATGGGGACATATCATAATGTTTTTATAAGCTTGTCTTTCCATTGGATATCACCTGGCTATATCATTTACTGTATTTTTTATTATACCTTAGAAAGACACTAACTAAAGAAGACTTTCACAGCTGCTTCAGAAAGTGGCAAGAATGATGGGATGAGTGTTTGAAATGGGGGAGAAGCTTTGCGCAGTGGCGGTATCGTAGCCAATGAGGTTTATCCGAGGCGCGATTATTGCTAATTGAAATGGGGGAGAGTATTTTGAAGAAGATTAATGACAGTATGTCTTTTACTGCAGTAACTTTTTAAAAATTAAAGTATTTACTGTATATTTCTGTCATACCTCATAGATTATGGTTAACATCTTAACAGTTAAGAATGGACCAGATACTATTCTAAACGTTTATACAGATCACCTCAGTTACTTCTTGCAAAAATTTTATACAACAGGGACTATGTTATTTTCATTCTACATTTGAGGAAAACTAAGTTACACAAGTACCTTTCACAAGATTGGACAGTAAGGCACAGAGCCAAAATCTGAACACAGTTTGGCACTATAAGTCATTGTAAATAATAACTTCTAATGAAAATTGCAATCCAGATATATAAAAATGTGACAAAAATTATTAGAAAGAACATGGACTTTGGAATTGAACATTCCAGGATTGTAATCACTATTATTTTTCTAACTGTGTGAATTTAGACCAGTTTCTTAGCGAATTTGAAATTCACAATTGTTTTATTTTTAAAGGAGCATCATAGGGGCTGGAGTGTGTAGCTCAGTGGTAGAGTGCTTACCTAGCATGTGTGCAGCCTTGGGTTTGATCCCCAATAACATCAAAAAACATTTTTGAACTTAAATGGAAATCAACTGTTGAGCTTGACCTTGGGAGGATAGTGGAATGAGAAGTGTCAGAAATCCATCTCTCTACCTAGATAATAGTGGTTCTGACCTGTCATAGCTAAATCTTGGAAACAACCCAAATGCCTGTTAACTACAAATGGATAAAAAAGATGTGGTGTTTTTATACAATGGAGTATTACTCAGCTATGAAAAAGGTAAACGCAAAGCTTTTATAGGTGAATGGATACAACTAGAGTCCATACTCATATGTGAAATAAATCAGGCCCACATGTGTAAACACTATTGTGTGTAAGAACCTGAAAGAGTAAATAAAGAGTAAATAAAACCCAATACGTGCAATAAATATTATGAAAGGGAAAGAAATTACTCAAAGAAAGGAACAACTGGGATGAGGGAAAGGAGAGAAAGAAAGGAAGAAGGCAGGCAATACATATATGTGAATGTATGTATATATATACATACATATATATGTATATAGAAGGATATCTGAGATTACTGCTGAAGTGTAATGGTTTATTGAAAGGAACAGTTAATGCTTATTTTTTTTTTCTTTTTGGCCAATTTTGCATGCTTGTACCTGGTATTCTCAACAACTGATTTGAAGACAACAATATGCAATATAACAACCATTGGTGAATTCCTATCATCTTGTCTAATGAAACTATCATTTCTAATTTTTTTTTTGTTTTTATTTTTTACTTTCTTTAATGGTTTGATCAGTCTTGCATTCTTACATCTGGTAATTTGAGCAACTTCACTGAAAATAACAATATGTAATATAACAGCCACTGTTAATTCCTATCATTTTGTTCTGAAACCCTATATATTATTTTTATTGTTTTTGCTTTCTTTTGTTTTTATCTGTGGTGTTGGTATTTTGCTATTACTCTTTTTTGTTATTACTCTCTTTAAAATAAAATTTAAAAAAATAGTTGTACAGACCAAAACTAAAATTAAGTAGCTATTTTGGAACTCTGACATCTTGTTTGAATGCTTCTGGCTTCTAGAAGAAAACTTGGCTGGTAATTTGCTTGGTTTTGGTGAATTCCAGCCTTGAACATAGTAGTTACTCTTGACCATAACCCACACATCAGTAACAGGCACTTATCCTCATGTTTCTGCTATAGCTTGCTGGAGCTAGGAAGGCAAATAGGGACTTTGAGTGTCCTATGTTACCACTTCCACTGGTCAGAGTGACTTCCACATGACACCTGTTTAGCTTTTCTTTCTTTTTACTCTTATGGGATCCAGGCATTTAGGAAGTAGGACATCCAGAGCAAAAGCAGAAAACAATCTAGAGAGTCACTAACTAGGCTCAGGGAATGACACAGGTTTAGAAAAGACCTGAGAAGACCTTTTGCTTTCACTTTATGATGATATCTACATACTTTAAGTGAAAACAAAACCCGAATGAAAACAGACTGTGGAGAAAAAGGCAAATCTAACTTCCAGAGCTATCATAGTTTCATACTCAGATGTCCAGTTTTCAGCAAAAAACCCCACACAAAACAAAGAAACAGGAAAGTATAACCTATTCAAAGGGACAAACTTCCTGAAAAAGACCAGATGTTAGACTTACTTGACAGAGGCTTTAAAAAACAACTGTCTTAAAGTACCTCAGAGAAACAAGGGAAGACATGGACAAAGACAGGGTGTCTATGAATAAAATGAGAATAATAATTAAAAGATTGAAATTTTAGAACTACAAAAAAGTTCTTGGGCTAAGCAATACTATAACTGAAATGAGCATTCTACTATTATAATGCATAAGAAGATGTGAATAAGCAGAAGAAATAAGAATAAGCAGAAGTTAAACTTTTAAACAGTTGAACAGTGAATCTAAGAAAGGGGAAAATAGAATGAAAAAAGTGAGACTCAGAGACTGGTAGGACATCATTAAATGGACCAATATATACTTTGTGTGGGAGTCCCATAGGGGAGAGAGAAATGGGAAGAAAGAATATTTCAAGAAATAAATGACTGAAAAGTTACCCAGTTTTTTGAAAGACATGAATCTACAAATCCAAGAAGCTCAGCAAACTCTGATTAGGGTAAACCCCAGAAGGACCCATATTTTAGACACATTAAAATCAGACTGTTGAAAGAAAATTTGAAGTAAGTTATACTGTCAGCTGATTTCTCATTAGAAAATTTATAGGCCAGAAGGCAGTGGACGTATATATTCAGAGTGCTGAAAGAAAGAAAAACTCCCTATCACCTGAGAATTCTGTATCTAGAGATTAGGATATTCCCAAATAAACAAAAAGTGAGTAAGTCTACTACCACTACACTTGCTTTTCAAGAAGTGCTAAAGGGATTCCTTTAGATGGAAATGGAAAGATACTAGACCGTAACTCAAAGCCATATGAATGAATAAATTATCTGTTAAAACACATGGGCAACATACAAAGCTAGTATGTTTGAATTTTGAATTATAACTTCACATTTAAAATTTTCACATAACTTTAAAGATAAATACATAAAACATTACCTATGTTGAGCACACAACGTATAAAGATGTAATTTGTGACAACAGAAAGAGAGGGTGGAACTGTAGGAGCAAAGTTATTTTAGGTTACTGAAGTTACATTGGTATAAATTCAAGTTAGATTATTATAACATTAGAATTTTAAATGTAATCCCCATGGTCACTACAATAAAATTATATAGTATGTATAAATGGAAATGAGGAAAGAATCAGAATGCTTAAGTATAAAAAGCTGGTTAAGCAATAGGATAAATGAAGAGTGGAAAATCACTCTGATGCACATTGAAAACAAATAAAATGGCAGAAGTAAACCCTTCTTTATAAATTGTTACTGTAGATGTTAATGAATTGTGTGCTCCAAACATAAGTCATAGATTTGAAGAATAGACTTTAAAAACATGATACTAAGGTACAAATTGGGTGAAAATGAAAGAATGAAAAAAATTTTATACAAAAAGTAACAAAGTGAGCTGTGATGGTAATCCTACTGTAAGATAAAATATACTTAAAAATACAGTAGACAAAAGGTACATTTTATGTTAATAAAAAGTTTAGTGAGATGTGAAAAGTATTTATATAACAGAACTT